AATTCATGTCCCCAAGAAGAAGATATGGAACCCTCATATCCAAAGGTGTCGATTTGTATCCGTGGTTGGGGGGGGGGGGGGGGGATGATAGGTGCCAAAATATTTTCGGCAATGGATCAAAGCAACCAAGAGGTAGAAGCGTTTGGCAAGTTGCACCCCTCTCAAGCGCGTAGCCAGGATTTCATTTTAGGGGGCGGTAGTGAGCACGCGAAGCGTGCGAAGCGCGGTCCCTAGGGGGTTGGATACAGGGAGGGGGAGTTCCCCCCCCCCCCCTCGAAGCGCGGAAGCTTTGACGTTTCACTAAATTATTAGAGAGAGAGAAGACGATTCATTGGACCGTTCTCGACTTTTAATCCTCGTTTGATTAAGTTCCCCTTCCTCCGCGCGTAGCGCAGAAGCTCTGACGTTTAATTAGATTATTAAAGAAAGAAGACGATTCGATGTACCATTATCGACTCTTAATCCTTGTCTGAATTCATTTTCGCCCATTTCTGCGCGAAGCGCGGAAGCTTTCACATTTTATCACATTATTAGAGAAAGAAGACGATTTGTTGTATCGTGTCCTTCATGAATTCAGTTTCCCCCCTACCGCGCGAAGCGCGGAAGCTTTAACGTTTCAATAAATTATTACTCTCAATCTTTGTCTGTATTCATTTTCGCTCATTCCGCGCGTAGCGCGGAAGCTTTCACGTTTCACTAAATTATTAATAAAAGACGATTCGTTGTATCGTGTACTTTGACGTTTCATTTGATTATTACTCTTAATCCACATCTGAATTCAGTTGCCCCCTAACAGCTTTGCCCTTTTCACTAAATTATTACAGAAAGAAGACGATTCGTTGTACTGTTCTCTATAGTAATCCTTGTCTGAATTCAGTTTCCCCACTGAAAAAAAGTTGTGACATAATAATCTTTCTCCAAAAATGAAAAATGTTTTAGGAAATATCAGGAAATAAAATGAGTTAATAAAATGAGCGAGAATTCAATTTATTCTTGTCTCATATACGGTTGTCTTATTAACTTCGTATATATGTATGTATTATGAAAATGAGATAGCAAAATGTGTATACTGATGGTCATCTTGCGAGTAATAACCATTAACTACTCTCATCGGGCTCTCATCATTAATTTTTCTCTTAATTTTTTTTTTTTAATGGTGAATTATTGGGGGGATGATTGTACAGGCCACCCCCCCACCTGAAATATTGGGGGGGGGGGATATATCCCCCCCCCATCCCCCCCCCCCCCCCCCGGGATCGACACCCATGCTCATATCATCAACTGTTTGCATTACTCTCTCAAACGCGTTAAACACTTCAAGATTTGAATTTGGCGGTCTTTACCATCAAATCACATAAAATGGTTTTTGTTTCCCAAATTTAATTTCAGTGACAATTAGTTCTAAATTATTATCTTCAAACAGTTCATCTTTTCGAATACAAATCAAATCATCTTTAATGTACATCGCAACTCCACCTCCGAATCTATTCCTATCGCGTCGTATGATTGTATATCCAGGGATACAAATTTCACCATCGTCAATCTTTTCACATAAATGAATTTCACTGAGAGTCATTATATATAAGTTAGCATTAATAACCATACACCTTATTTCGTCAATATGTTTGATTATCGATAAACAATTTAAATGAGCGATTTTAAGTCCCTTCAGTGATTGAAGCCTGCTTAAATCTCTATAAACTGAATCATCATCCCCATCTATAAAGTTAAGCGTTTGATTATTTCTGACCGGCATAAAAATGAAAAGTACAACAAATAAGTTAAAAACAACAAACAACTACAATGTTACGAAAATGCACAAATAAATAGAGCTTTCAAAACTTTACCAGGGAAAGAGAACGTGGCAAACAAAACAGCTCATTGTTCAGTTTAGTCACTTTCGGTTATTGTCAGCGTTTCATAATGCATTTACGTCATTCTCACTTCGAATAACTTAGTTAATGGTTCGTCCATTAGTAGCAGCCACTTTGGCGATTACTCTCCCATCACTTGTACACATGGGATTTCCCGCTTTCGTTCCCCCAAAAATTCTTGCAATACAGCACTGTGTACTGAACGCTTTAGTACAAAATGAATGAACACGTTTTAACAATGATTACTTAATGCAGATTGATATTCAATAATAGCAATTTTATTCGTATTTGTATGATAACGCATTGCCTCTAATCTATTTTTGAAATAGAGCGTTTGCCAACAGATTTTAATATCCATAAGGGAAATATTACTTCGTGAGTCTCGTGAAGAGACTAATTGAGAGCCCGTTTTGCGCATGTGCACCCGTTATCGCTATGTCGCCATTTTGGAAGAGTAACTTTTTCCTGCATTCGTGAAAATTCGTGAAATATCAAAGCTTTAAATGGTTCTCTGGGAATTTTCAAACAGGTAAGTTATCGTTTGAGCTTTCCTTCATACATCAAACCGACTGAGGGGAAGTTTTCAGGCCCATCTTTAACGTCTTTAGCAAAGGGTGATCGTGATAGGATGACACATTAAGCATATTCAATTTGAACCAGAAGTTGACCCAAAGTTGGTCAGGCATTACCCTTTATACACTATAGTGTACGGGCTCTCCAAAGGATAAGGTTATCTATTCACAGTGCATTTAAAAATGAGTCAATTATCACTTTTGAGATGAGATTTGAATATGAAAATGTAATGTCTTTTCAAAGAAAACTAGAAACATTTGACCCCAAGCGATCACGACGCGTTTATTTTAATAACTCTTGTTTCAGCCTTCATCAATATGGGATTATGAACATCAATATGCAATTGCTACCACTCGATTTAAAATGATAATTAAAATCTCCCTCTGAATTATGCAGTAGACGCAATTGTAATAAGATATGTTGGTTGTTGTTGATATTTACCTTGTCTTTATCGATTTTTTCCTTGCTGATACAAACTAAAATGTTAGCTTGCATTTATATCATAAGAAATATCTTTAACAAATATTATAACTCTGAGTAATTTAATTTGGTACAGATTTTACAGCTTGTTTTCTTTCGTCCCCTCCCCCAAAAACATAAAAAGGAAACGCCTAAACTTTGAATAACATCACATTTTATGAACATGTAATCTTCATTGGATGTTAATCGTCGCAAGCTAAATCATAGTTAAAGTTCAATTGGCTTGTTTAAAGCATTTATACTACCTGGATTATCGAGAACATTAATTATAAAATCTATTATAGTCTAAGGGAGTAATTCCGACACCGTATTACATTGTCTGGTAAATATCATACTGTAAATATATCTGTGACTTGATTTTGTTTTTCTTTGAAATTATTTATAAAAGCCATTGTCATTATTAGTGCAAGTGAACTTTAGAAGCATTTGAAAAGAAATCTTCTATAATCCAACCTTTGTTCACTCGCTGTCATTTGGTAATTTTTTCCAGCAACAGGAGGGGGGGGGGGCGTTCAATGTCAAAGAGCCAACGAAACACACAGTTTGGCCCATGTGGTGATAGTGGGTGTTATTTTGTTTTGTTATGTGCTTGCTCGAAAAACTGACTTGTCCCACATTTCAATGAACCATCTCTTTAATGCGCAACTACAAAAAGGCGAGATACTGTAGATATTCCACCCCACCCCACCCCCTTCCTAGCCCACCATTGTGAACCATCGAACTCAAGATATTAATGAATCTTGCAGAGCCAATGAACTGATTATAATGTTAGGGTCGTGATGTCAAAGATCAAAGGGTCATACATGTATTTGAAAATTAGCTTGTAATTACGATATTCTGAATTTATTTATTTATTTGTTTATTTCACATATTTAGGGTATCTCATTCAGTTTAAAAACTGGTCTTCCATAAGGCCCTGTCTCAATCAAAATACACATATATACAAATTCTCAAAACAAAATCATACATCTAACACTAGTAGGAAGAAAAAGACAACAAATTGAATAAATAAAGCATATTAACATCATACACAATAATAAAGAAGTAAAACTAACAATATGAAATAAGTTACGATAAAAAAAAAACACCTGATCTTCATGTTGCCTTGCTTTGTAAAAATACAAATAGATATGCAAAATGTTTACATACTTGATAAAGGGAGAGAAGAAATAGAGTATAACATCAAGTACGACAACAAATATATATATATATAGTAAAGGTAAAACCGTACTAAAGGTAAATAATGATACAATATAAGAAGTTAAAATGACCTTTGTATTAAAAAACAGGAAGTGAGACACCGCTCATATAATATTGTAAAAGGGCAAGAAAGGTCAGATTTTACAATGTTCTGCGAGATAGAGGATTCATGATAAAATTGACAGAGAACCTATAAATCTCCCAGATCCAATTTAGTAGATACAAAATTAAAATGAGTTTGAGAAAATGTAAAAACATGTTACTTCTCTGATACCATCCGTTTAAATACATTGAGAGTTAAACAAAGTCGGGCTTCCACTGTATTTATGTTCCACATTTTAACGCCATAATTAACGAAAGTGTTAGAATAAAATTCAGTATTGCACTTAAAAGGTTTCAACAGATTCGTATTATTATTTCGAGTTGTGCGTTGCATAACATCATCTAGTAGTACAAATTTATCAGACATAGCTGGAGGAGCTAAATCATTCATACATTTAAAAACCAGACAAAAAGTGGCCTTGTCGAACAATTCATTTAGAGTTGGCCATTTTAGGCCATCCAAGACCTGTCGCGACGGAATGTGCCAAGACTGTCTAGAAATAATATAAGCTGCTCTTTTATCAAGTTTATTTAGCACATCGACATTATATTTAAATCGACTAGACCATAGAGCAGCAATAAAGAGCATGTAGTAATACATAGCCCCAGTACAATTGCTTTAGTTGATATTGAGTTAAATATTCACGGAGCCTGACATAGACATAGACTTAGTGGTCTCATATTTCATGTCTGTACATTCCTATCACTAATATGATTAATCCGCGTGTAAACAGAACCCCCCTTTTATGTATCTTTCCAGCGTACCGAGTTTTTGTCGAATGGGAAGGAAATCTTGCACCATGGATGGATTCTGCCTTCTCTATCTGTTCCTGATCCTTCTGATGAGATCTGGTGATGTTGAAACCAACCCTGGACCGGACAGGTTAGTCTATATGAATATATTGCAACAGTAATGACCAGTATGGGCTTGTAACGAATTAACGATCACCCATGTAATCACGTTATCATGTTATGGGTGCCTTTGTATATTAATTTAGCTAGCTATTCTACGGAGTATAGTTTGACACTTCATGTTGTTTTTGTCAGACCGGTAATAGGTACACGCATGAAGCTGCAGGTATTTGGCAGTGCACAACTGTAAGAGCTAGTGTACATAGATATGTAGGATGGAGTAGTTTATTCTTCCAAGACATATAGTTGTACAGTCTGTTCGCCTGAATGCTCATCACGACTGAACAAAACTTACAAAACTAAATATGAAAATAGGTGCTTAAATGGATGCACAATATGGGTCACAACTTTCAGCACAATAAAAGATATTTAAGATATGCTACATAACATATGTTTTTTTATTACAGAATTGTCAGTGAGGACGAATTCATAAAGCTGTCTAAGCTGATTGAACCTAGCTACTACAAAGTGGTGGGCGTTAACCTGGAGATCCCCAATGCAGAGCTTGATCAAATCTCTGTACAACGTATGCTAAATACCAGTGATGCATTGATGACTGTGTTCACGAGATGGAGAGACAAACAGCCTCCAGGCTCAGACTTCAGGGCTCTTCTTGCAGAGGGATTAGAAAGAAGTGACCTAGGGTTCTTCTCTGGCAAACTACTCGCTGACAGTCTCGTCCCACCCAGGACAGGTGAGAATAAGAAGGAAATCATGTCGGAAGCCCCATAGAGGGCCCTTACTGCCATTGATAGTGTCTTGCTCTTGCAGGCAGCCAACAAACATAACAAACACCGATTTGCCTCTTCCTCGTTTGGCACAAATAGGGTTACTTAGAGCAGGACATCCCCGACGGCGAACAGCCCACGAGACTGATACTGCCGGTCTGTTTAACCCTCAACATAGTTGTCAGTCAATAGGACATTGGTTTTGTGGGTCTTGTGGCAACCTTTTAGCAGGTTTGGTAGACAGATATTGTCGGTATTGTGATATGTCGGTCGCATGACCTGTGGTCATTGATACACATTATAGACTCCTGTACGTTGTGCTGTGTAATGGGGCTTTCACATATACACTCCGGGGCCCGTACGGCCAGTAAAAACAGACATTTTGGGAATTTTTTCGGACGGTGTCCGGCCGGTTGCCGAAAAATTCCTACGGGCGCCGGGACAGTTTTTTTTAACCGTACGGGCGTCGTGCTGAGTTGGATACTCCCAATTCTCTCGGCGTTTTTATCTGACCGTTAGGCCGTAGAAATCCCGTAAAGGGCCCGTAAAGGGCACGCAGTTTTAATACAGGAGGTGCGGATACCAGAGGACACATACAGAGTGAGTCAGAAAAAATGTTCCACTTTTTAAAAGTTGTATTGTTTGAAGAATGATTATTTAATCATGAGTTTCATGATATATCTTGATAGAGTTATCATCCCAGTACATTTAGGTACCATTTTCATTTGAATATCTGCATGCATAAGTAAACATCAGACAATCTTTACAAGACTGCCATATCTCACTTGCGCCAAGTTGCTAGGTGTGGAATAAAATAATGTTTTGAACAAAGACAGCCACTTTTTTCAATTATCCAATTAGCCAGACAGACAAAAACAGACAAACACACGCACACGCACACACAAACACACACACACACACACGCATACACACACGCACATGCACAGGCACACGCACACAAATGAGCACTCCATTCCCGACAAGGCCCACCCAAACTGTTACTTTTTATCGGAAATTCTTCTTATCGTACGAAAAGTTAAGTGGCCGCTGTCCTTTTGGTGCGTATTGGCGGATGTTGTGCTTCATGATGATGACGATGATGATGATGATGATGATAATAATGATGATGATGATGATGATGATGAAGATTAAGATGATGACAATGATGATGATGATGACATGATGGTAGTAGTGAATGTGTACAAAAGGAAATATTTTTAGGGTTATGCCACTTAAACATTCAGCGATCTTGATAAAAAATCAATGCTCAATCAGAAAAGGGGTAATTATGAAACAATTATCACCGTGTGTGTTGTGTGTGTGTGTGTGTGTGTGTGCGCGCGCGCGTGTCTGACTGTCTTTGTTCAATGCACTGTTTTATTCCTCACCCAGTAACTTGGCGCAAGTGAGATCTGGCAGTCTTGTGAAGATTGTCTGATATTCAGTGATGCATGCAGAGATCTAAATGAAAATGGTACCTAAATGTACTGGGAGGATAACTCTATCAAGATATATCATGAAACCCATGATTAAATATTCATACTTCAAACAATACAACTTTTAAAAAGTGGGAAATGTTTTCTGACTCACTCTGTAGTTCAGTGCACCGCACGGCACTCAGCTGGGCCTCGGCAGGGCACCTTCCGGGAGCCATCGGTACACCTGCTCATCGGACGGAGTCCGTAAGGTAACCGGCCAGCACTCGGCCGGCACCCTGCCGGCACCCTTACGGGTGCCTTGCATTTCACTCGACCAATTTTCTCCGGGCACCTCCCGGGCGCCGCAGAATATGTGACCACACATGCCGTAGAAATGACAGTACTTGTAACTTGTAAGAACTCTTCCATCGTCCAGTTTTCGGTTAATATGACACCAAACCCTCTCTCTCTCTGTCCACAGTTGATAACCCAACCTCGCTGTCATCGTCTACCGTGACACAGGAGGCGGGCTTGAACAGGTATTATGTTTTTATATACTGCAAAAAAGACAACAATGCATTGTATGCATTGTTGTCATATATTATTTATAGTGCCATAGAGAGATAATCGTCATGCATGTGTTTCCATGTATAAGTACATAATCTGATAAACTGTTTATGGAAATAAACGCACTATTTCACTTCAAAGTAACCTTTGTATTTTATATCAAGGTTATGTACACTGTTGGTCATAATGGTGAAATAAATATTTTTCCCCCAATTTATTGAAGGATTTTGACAATGATTTATTCCTAATAGATCTAGATAATAGTATACATTCTCAGATTATATTAAATGACAATTTGGGAGTGTTTGTTTTGCGTGACTGCTAAAGCGTGTATGTGCTACTATGCTAATCTACTAAGGGACCTACGTCCTTAAGTCATAACAGACAGTAATGGGGATTAATGCCTCATAAAAGGGCACTAATATAGCACATCGAAACGTTTTGATCCTGGGGGCTCACAGTAACGAGGCCATTGCTTAGCCAATGAATCATGACTGTACGCAGCGGGCGCTAGGGTACGTCGACGCCCCCACAAAAACAAAAAAACAAAGAAAATGCAATAAATTTTCAATAATTATTGCATTTTCTCCAAGTCCCCAACAGTAGGGACTGTAGGACCACGCATTATGGTTTAAGGCATGCCCACATAGAATATGTTATTATGTTTGGGGTCGGGGCAAAATGCAATGAATTATTGAAAATTTATTGCATTTTCTTTGTTTTTTTTTTTTATTTTGTGGGGGTGTCGACATACCCTAGCGCCCGCTGCGTACAGTCATGATTGATTGGCTAAGCAATAGCCTCGTTAATGTGAGCCCCCAGGATCAAAACCGTGTCGATATGCTATATTAGTGCCCTTTTATGAGGCATTAATCCCCAGTACTGTATGTATACTATTATCTAGATCTATTAGGAATAAATCATTGTCAAAATCATTCAATAAATTGGGGTAAAAATAATTATTCCACCATTATGACCAACAGTGTATGTAGGAAACCTGCATTGGGCAAGGATCTTGACTCTCATAAAGGAAATATAGGGTTTTATCCTTGCTCGCTATTTGGCCCAAATCTGCCTCTCTCGACTCAGGTGTATAGAATGTGTACCTAGCAAAGCTGAGGTATTAATGACACCAGTGCCCTAAGGAAGCTTAGTATTAATACTCGTGAGAATACCTCGGTTAAATATGACCAAATTATTAAATCATGTCATTACAAAATTATCATTAACAAGGTTAACATGGATTTTGTTTTGTTTTGTGTGTCATTTACTCATAGAATGGACCGAATCGTCACGGATGGTGAACTTGATAAGCTAGCAGGTTGCCTTCCTACAGACTACTACAATAGGGTCGCCATTAAATTAGGGGTTAGCTACGCCGAATATAGCAATATCAAGAGGCAAAATGCAGCAGCATTAAGAGATGCTAATTTTGAGATGTTAATGAATTGGAGACGCAAAAAGGATGGTGGAAAAGTGAGAGATCTTGATAAAGCTCTAGATGAGGCTAATTGTGGGGGGCTTGTGTACAAAGATGTGTAACTATTTCATGGTATCCACAAATGTATGTATAATGAACGCGATTTCAAAGACTATATATTGACAAATCAGCCGAAGGGATTTTCAGAAGCCTTAGTCCATCACCTATTGAATTGTGCGAACATTACTGCCAGTGGCATATTACGTTATATGAACCTGATTTCAGTGGGATAAACAATGTGATATTGAATTTACCCTTTAGCTGAATTGTCGAGAGTTTTTGCGATCTCGTCGATATGGTAAAAGTAAAAAAAAAAGGTCAGTGTAAGACTTCTGGTACTACCGTACTAATCCACATTTGCCATTGACGATTCGCTATTTTGTAATAATTTATATATTTCGCTTGCCTATTCCATCCATTTTAGTTTACTCTTCCCTTAGTACTAAATTTTCTTTTCCACTTTAAAGACCTCGTTATCCGAATCACATCATTTATTCTTGTTAATGCTGTATATATATTTTCATGGTACTTTTCCACATTGTGATTTCGTTGTGAATCTACTCAAAAAGCTGCATTAGGTGTCTTAAAAACACAACTCCAATATTGCCAATTCCATGGCAACTAACAAATTCAGTTATTCAGATCATTCCTTTTGAATGCTATTCCAGAGGTGACAAATCCAATAGTTATACGCCATATGGATCTTTCACAATAACATTCCACATTCAAAATTATATTTATTGTAGATAGAAACCGTGGACTAAATGACCACAAATATATAACGCTCGCTAGGTTTCATTAAATAACAAGTAACACACAAATGCTTCAAATTGTGTGTCCTGTTACCCAATATATTAGCAGGAACTCCGTTTTACATCCTTGATATGTTATGACTCCATGTAATATTATTTCAATATACATATTTTTTAAAATTGAATTTAAGAAAACAAGTTATTCGTTGAGAAAGTGGTAAGGTTCATGAATCGATACAGAGTGGTGGGTTAGGAAGGGAGTGGGCGCGGGGTGGGTTGCCATAGCAGACTTGGTTTTGGTTGTTATCGCAGTATAATGTTTGTTGCTTTGTTGGGCAAACACGTAACAATACAAATTGTACCATATTGCTGACACTCTTTACTTCCAAGTAGGCCAAAACTAGGTGTTTAGGTGGCTCGGAGACGCAGGGGATACCCCTCTCGTTACTGATAAACTCCAACTTGTATAACTGTAGTTACAGGTTAATCTTGAAAAGAGTTTGGAAATCAATGAATAAACCAATTTAAGCATCTAAAGTTCACTTGTAATGATAATGACCTTGGCTTAGATAAATACATTCATATAAACTATCAAGTCGCGGAAATATTAAAACTATGATATCTATCGCATATCATAATATGGTGTCAGTTTTATGCCCTTAGATTACGGGAATCATGAATATGACTATTCTCGATAATCCAGGTAGTATATTCAAATGCTATAAACAAGTCAACTGAACTTGAATAATGTTTCAGCTTGTGACAATTTACATCTACTCAAGGACGC